AAGTCTCTTTCCGAGGATTCACCAACATCACCTACCAAGTCCTGAATGTCTGGTATCTTGTCTCTAATGATTCTGTTAAACATCAATTCCGACGGAGCTACTCCTGTGGTCCCATGCGGTGTTACGTTGTACATCATGGCGAAGTTTTGAATCTCTTGTTTATAGTCTTTCCCTTTCGCCCACGCGATTTTTAGGCGTTTTACTAAAGACCTGTTCATATTGTCTACTTCGCCATTCGCCTGTGGCTAATATGGCGGAGTCGTTATTTGGGTAGTACCGTTGTTCCGGCAAAAATCTTGAAATTCGAGACTTACGAATTGCCGACCGTTGTCGGTTCTCAGCGTTCGTGGTATTTCCCAAACGAGAAAATATCTCCTGCCTTTGTTCGATTAATACTTTCGAAGAGATAGTTTTAATAAATTTAAATTCCATGTATCTGGAAAAGTATTCGATTAACACCAGTACATGGTCGTTGCTTGGCAAAGGGCCCAGTADGTCGGATGCGACACATTGCCAAGGGCCAGCTGGGAACGCATGTCGATCCATTGGTACTGGCTTATTCGCCAACGATACGGAGATGCAATCTCTACAGGCCTTGACAAAGCTTTCTGCTTCTCGGTCGATCCTTGGCCACCACACCTTTGCTCGTAGTCTCCGTTTCATAGCAGATTCGCCCGGACGACCCTCGTGGGCTAGCTCGAGCACTTGAGATCGTAGCATTGTTGGTATGACTATTTTGGTTCCGCGTAAAAGTACATTGCCAACTGCCGATAGCTCCCATTGGAATGGATAATATGGACTGGATGCGTTTGCCTCCCATGAGTTGGTGCTAAGGCAGGTCATTGTATCAATTATTTCCTCGTCCTGCATACTTTTGTCCATGATTTCCGATATGGTTAGTGACTTTGGTACCCCTTTTTCTACAATATGAAAGATATTCTGCTCATCTTGTCAATCAAAAGCTTCCGCTTTAGTTATTTGGCAAAGACGYGACACGGAATCTGCGATATTTTCTTTTCCGGCTTTATAAATGACCCGAAATAAGTAAAACTGCAGACGTAGCAACCAGTGTTCAATCGGTGCCGGTGGTTTCGAAGTTGGTTTGAAGATGGATTCTAAGGGCTTTTGGTCTTTTATCAGATCAAATTCAAGTCCCGCTAAGTAGTAGTAGAATTTCTCCACTGCCCACACTAGTGCCAAACTTTCTTTCTC